ATCGAGTGCAAACTATGTTAAATGCATTAGATGACAACCCCATGTACTGTAAATGTATGTTTATATCTACATCTTTGTTATCAGTTTGTACAAAATATCAATGTAGATCTAGACTGTATCATACTAAAGAAAAAATATATCAAATAAATGCTCAGGCTTACATTTCAAGAAAGACTCATTAAAACCAAGAAAATCAGGATCAGAGGCTCAATATAACTTAAGAATGGAAATAACAAAGACAAATTTTAGTTTCAATTCAAAATTGAATAGATAGTTTAAAAAAAGTAAACTTGCCTCGCGCAAGCATTGTTTAGATCTTACAATGAACAATATCATTTTGAATTGTTCAAGATTTTGAAATCTTATCAAATCATCTCTCAACCCAATAGGCAACCTATGCTTCCTGTAAAAATATTCTTAATTTTATAAGAAAAACCATTCTAAATTGCTTCCCCTCCCATAATGAACTTCAACAAGACTTGAGAAAACTCTGAAAGTGCCACAGAACTAACTTCTCATGTAAATCCCTAAACTTTCAACAGCATACTCCTGATCTTTCTTCAGGTAATGGATTCCTCTACTTAAAAGTGTAAAATTTGTTTGATTTAAAATTGACATGGGTTAGCTCCAACAGTATGGAAGACAACCTCATTGCACTAATCCAGAAGCGGTTTTATAATAGAAGCTAATGAAATTCATATTTCTGGCTATGAATCTATTCGTAGCGATCGCTCTTCCAAAGATAGGTCTGGAGGGGGTGTTTGTTTTTTTATTCGTTCCGAAATCAATTATTCTGTTCGCTCTGATCTAATATGTGAACACATAGAAATTCTGACTGTCGAAATCAAGAAGCCCAGATCAAGGCCTTTTGCCGTTATGACCTGGTATAGACCCCCTGATTCCTCAATTGACCTTTTTAGACCATTTGAAGAACTTATTGGAAAACTAGACTCAGAAACTATCGAATATTGCCTCTTAGAGATCTGAATAGTAATATGGCCGCGCCTAAGTTTGACAAAAGTACAAATATCTTATCTAATATTGCTGAAGTTTACGACCTTGACCAGTTAATAATCGAACATACTAGAATTACCGACAAATCATCTACTCTAATTGATCTAATTTTTACAAATACTTCAGATAGGGTCGTCTGCTCAGGGGTCTCACATATAGGCATCAGGGATCACAGTTTAGTTTATGCTTTTCGTAAAGCCTCTATAGAATCGACAATGAATAAGCATACTACCATGAGATAAAGGAAATTTAAGAATTTTAACTCTGATCCCTTTCGTGACGATATATGTCACCACAGGATTGTAGTAGCATCGAAAGCTATTCTGATGCTAATTTAATGTGAGCTGCATGGAAACAACTATTCCTGGAATGTGTAAACAAGCATGCCCCACTTCATGTAAAACGGGCGCGCGCCTCAAA